TGGAGCAACTTTGGGAAATTGAACGGATGAGATGAGCAGTATGTGACTATTAGGATATGAGCTGCAAGGCTCAAAAGAACAAGGATTGGTCTCCAGGGGAAATTGGGAGATTGACACAATGAAAATATAGTGGTTAATCAGTTCAAGAGCTCGGCTAATCCACTCTTTTATGGAGGTTCTTGCTCCTTTTTTCTTTATATCATCCGAAAGGTTTACAAGACCGATTATATGTTACTAGGGTCCTCCCTCTTGGGGGCGTTACATCTTATTTATAGGGTCGTCCCTAGTTCTGCAAGATCTGCACCGAGATCCTTGTCATTTATCCGAAGAACTCTCCTGGATCTTAGGAGAGGATCTTGGTTGGTTAAGGATTTTGTGCCTTGAATTATGGTTCTTTGCCATCTGTAAGCTTTCTGTTGTCATCCAGTTGTTCCCTCATCATTTTCGCTGTTGTCACGTGTGGGGGGAGCTCTAGCTCTAGTTCTCTGAGCTCTGCATGTCTTCTCTGACCTCTTGATATGACCTGCTTGTCTGACCTCCGCATTTGAGCTCATACTTGAAAATTACTCTAAGTATCATCAGTTGCTCCCCAGCCCTTAGCCCAAGTGAACTTGGGTAGGAGCTGAGCTGAGGCTTAATTAAGGCAGACCTCCAGACGCAGACCTCGATTTATGCGCAAACAGATTTTTGAGGATTTCAGGTAATCATTTTACTTCCTAGTTTCTCGTGCACGTTCTCCACTTTGTACCGTTAGCTTTAAATGCCTCCAAATTGAGGGGGAACGGCTCATTTCATCTTTTGAACTCCCTCTCTTCTCTCTACAATTTTCAGACTTTCGATTCTGCTGGTGGTGCTAGGGTTTTGCTGAAAAATCAACTTTCCCTGATTCAATCCATGGTTTCAACAAAATCCGCTCTTTGCCCTCAATTCTGGCTTTGGCCTACTGTTCCCCTTTACCTAGGTACGCTTCTTGCCCTCTATTTATCTCTTCGTTCTGGATCCCTCAAACTTGAGGTGATTTCTGTATTTTTGGACATTTCAATTCTGTTATTTTAGAAATCGAGGTCGATCTTTGTCTCGTATTCCCCTCTTTTTGGATCCTTATTCAACTGCTAGGGTTTTCCTTATTAGCAGTTGTTGTGTTGTCCTCCAGACTCTTAGGGAGTGTTTCGCTAGCGTTCCTCCCCTTTATCGTACCTTTAGGCTTTCCTATTCTTTCCCAGCTATGTATGCTTCTTCTGGAGCTACCCCCTCGTCTATTTCCCTCATGGGAGACAGGTCTGTTAAAGGGGATTCTGATTTAGGAGATATAGGCGATAAGATTGATAACTTCCCTGGAATCGATTCTTCTGAGGCCAAGGAAATGGCCGAGGAACCCCCCTCTGCATCTTCCCCCATGCCCAAGATCCCCGATAAAGACAAAGCCAAAGTGAGTAGCGTAGGAGTTTCGGGTAATGCCGAGGGCATAGGGGCTGCTGAGCTCATAGGTGCTAGTGAGGTAACTCCTCCTCAAATGAAGATCTTAGCCACTCGTTTCGATTTTCCCCCGGGTGTTCAATACTGGTGCCCCGACGCCTGTACCCCATATGTCTCCCAAGTTCATAAGAAGGTCTGCTTCTTTATAGCTACTGCGTTTGAGAATGACCTATGTTTCCCCTTACATCCTTTTATTAAGGGTGTCCTGCAGCACTTCAACGTCTGCCCTGCTCAATTCTCTCCAAATTTCTGGGGCGTATTGGTAGGCCTCCTCGTCTTCTTCAAGAAACATAGCTTAGGAGTCCCCTCCATTCCTTTGCTTATGAAATTCTTCAATGTCAAATATACCCCCTCTGATGATTTTCTTTATATTTCTAAATGAGTGAAAGTCAAAGTCATCATTTCTGACCTCCCCAGCTCTCATAAAGGCCGGAAAAAAACTCTTCTTCTTTGTGGGAGGCAATCAATGGGAAAACAATCGTGCGGACTAGACAGATACTCTTCTGGTCCTTAGAGTCTGGTCTGCCCCTGACAACCTGGGTGAGTTTTTGCTAGAGCTAAAGAAGATTGGTCTTAATGATTTGCTTTTCAGGCATTCGACCAAAGCTCAGTGCTGAGGACAAGCTGGTTCTACTATCCTTAGCGAACTGTAATTCAGAGAAGTACTCCGACCTCCTCAAACCTCGGATTCTTGTAAAGCTCAGACTCAGCCCACCCGAGGTGCAGATCAAGAATCCATCTCCCCTTTCTCCTATCAGTGCTGAGGAAATGGCAAGTAATGCTCTTTACATCTTGGCTTTTACTCTTTCGCCCTTGCCTCCTTCCTCTCTCTATCTCTTTTCTTATGTTGGTTCTTCCTTGAGTTTCTAGGTTCTTCCTCAATGGAGCCCACTGCAAAGGATCGCACTGCCAAACTATCCTTGATGAGGAAGAATCGGAGTGGAAATAAACGCAAGGATTAGGTCGACTTAGGCAGTGACTCTACCTCCAAAGTTCCAAGACTGGAGGCGCCCCCTGCTTCACCTCAACCGACTCAAGTGGGGCCCCAAACTTCTCCGGGCTCCCTAAAGGCTGCGCAGACCCCTTTCTCCCAAAAGACTAGGCTGCCTCCTTCTGGTGGGGCTTCTGAGAAAGGTCTGATCTCAACTTCTCCCTCTTCTGCAGAGGTTGAGAGAGCTCTAGAGATAATTCATCGCATTCTGTCGGGATACATCCCTCCCTGTCCAACTGAGGGGCCACCTCTTAAACCCCCAAAGGTCTGCAAGAGCGAAAAAGGGGCGAGTGTTGAGTCAAGTTCGAGCTCTCTGATTGATAATGTGAAGTGAGCTGCAAAGGTCATTGCTTCCATTCTTCCTGAGCCTGACATTCAGCGGGCTTCTACTATGCCTCTTGGGACTTCCATATCCACCGCCCTCTTTGTTGTTACTTCCGTAAGTTTTGCTATATATGCGCATATTTTTGTCCTAAAATATTTGATTTTTCTGACCTAAGCTTTTCTGGGCTGTGCTCAACCTCAAATGGTCATTCATGCTAACGGGTTACTGAAAAGGATCCAGGCTATGCAAGGTTCTATCTAGGCTTCCAGAGCTTTTGAATTCAAGGTTGCAGAGTTGTCTTTTGAAAACAGCGACCTTAAAGCCCAAGTCCAAGATTTGAAAGAGTAAGTGGAGAGGCAGACCTCCCTAAACAGGGATTTGAAAGCCAAGAAGAAGAGGATTGAGAGTGAGGGCAGGAACTGTAAGGCAGAGCTCAAAAAGACTAAGGAGAAGCTCAGAAGGACCTCAGGAGAGCTCAGGCAAAAGACAGATTAATGAATTAAAGTCAATCAGGAGTTCCTTGAAGCTTTGAGCTCTTTCCGGAATATGAAGAGGGAATATGACCTCATTGCTGAGACAAATGACGCTCTTCGGAACCAGCTCGTAATGGAGAGAGCAGCTGATAAGGAGAAAGACAACCTGATTGCCAAGCTAGCTGACGACATCACTACTCAGTGGGCTTCTGGGTGGCTCGCTTTTCCAGACAGAGCTGAAGAGATCTACTCTAGACAAGATTTTAATTTTGATCCCCCCACTAAGGAAAAGATTGAGGCAGCTGACTCTGAGGCTAGCACCATGCCTCCTCCTGCTTCTGAGGTTACCCTTTTCTCCGCTGATCTCGTCTGTAAATCAACGTGGTGCAACTTTGTGATATTTAACGAATGAGAAGAACAGTATGTGACTATTAAGATCTGAGTTGCAATGCTCAAAAGAACAAGGATTAGTCTCCAGGGAAAATATATAATGGTTCACCAGTTCGAGAGCTCAGCTAATTCACTCTTTTATGGAGACTTTTACTCTTTTTTTTTTTATATCATCCGAAAGGTTTACAAGACCGATTATATGTTACTAGGGTCCTCCCTCTTGGGGGCGTTACATCGTATTTATAGGGTCGTCCCTAGTTCTGCGGGATCTGCATTGAGATCCCTACCATTTATCCGAGGAACTCTCCTTGATCTTAGGAGAGGATCTTAGTTGGTTAAGGATTTTGTGCCTTAAATTATGACTCTTTGCCACCAGTAAGCTTTTTGTTGTCTTCTAGCTGTTCCCTTATCATTTCTGTTGTTGTCACGTGTAAAGGGAGCTCTGAGCTCTGGTCCTCTGAGCTCTCCGTGTCTTCCCTGACCTCTTGGTTTGACCTGCTTGTCTGACCTCCGCACCTGAGCTCATACTTAGAAATTACTTTAAATATCATCAATTGGTTAAAAGAGCAAGTATTCTAATTGTGCATTTTTTGTTCACAATTTGTACTTGTCAAATCTAAACACAACCCAATTAACAAATTCATCAGATTAATGTCAAAATATCAAACATGATCATAAAATAAATCGAGTTAAAGTTAAATAATACTGGCCAAAACCCCAAAATTCAGGCTCAACACGACTTGATTTCCCCGCCAAATCAAACCCCTGATCAGTTCCTTTTAATCCGAGATATATACATAATATCACCAAGTCTAAATCCTTCACCAGAACTTGCCTTGCCAGGCCCAGCTTTGTCAGCAATACTAAACATATTCAATAGATCTGAATCATCTCTCATGAATGTATCCAGTCCATAAATAGATGAAGCCATGGCCAGCCAAATAAACACTAAACTCAATGACGAAAATGGACATCGACATTGCTAAATTCAAGGTTGTATGGTGATGAGTCCTACTTTATTTGACTTCTGAAACATCACGGTTTTTTAACAGCCTTCTTGCACTTGTATGACAAACTGAAAAATATGCTAAACTGATTCCACATTAGAACCAGTCACACTCGGTTAACCAAATACTATGAATTTCTTAACCAAATACTATGAATTTCAGCGTCTATACGCCAATTCCAAAAAATTTCCGCTGATCTCAAAACAATTTTAAGAGCGAGTTGTGCCTTCAGAAAATACCCATAACATCCTTAAACTTACAAGAATTAACAATTACTATCAAACCATAAGCAAACCTGCGTCATTACAAGAGGTTTTTTTTTTTTTTTTTTTTTTTTTGGGGGGGGGGGGGGAGGTAATTCTATCTGTAGGTACAACCAATGACTGGCCAAAAAACAGGAGGTGGATCAATATACACAGTTCTTGTTATCATCTCATAGGAGACATTTACTTGTAAATATCACAATAGAGCAAATGTATAAGAACTTACTGGTCCCAACCAACCCCAATAATCAATTGGGCAAGATGAGTCAAATAGGGCTCTGCTTGGGAACTGCTGCTCAATATTGGCCCCAGACTCTGAAGCTCAGCAGTAAATTCCCTCTCAAATTTCCTGCATATTATTCTTGCAAATGAGTTTGTGTATGAGAGAGACAGAGAGTGTTTCACTACTGATTTCTTGTAACATACATGATAGATTCAATGACTCGCGTGTTTTCAATGCCTGCTTTGGGAATGTCAATGGAAGATGTAATCAGCCACTGAGTTGCTACAGCATACTGAAGGCATATCAATTTTAACCTCTCCACCTTCTGCATTTATGAAAAAAATTAAATGGAACCCAATCAAAAAGACTAATCGAGTAGAAATAGCAGACCAAAAAATCTGAGATCATGCTATCTTGTTTAGAATGTTCCAGCTTAACACAGCTTTTTGACTCAACATAAAATCACAAAAATACTTCTCAAGTGAGTGGGGCAACATGCATGAAATAAAAAAAAAATTAGTTAACTATGAAGAGGATATATAGTTCCGGCTATACAAATTGAAGGACTGCATGAGATTGGCTCCAAATTCTGTGCTCAGCATCAAATTTGTATTCAGTTATAGATGAAATGAGAATATGAGATCATAAAATTATGTTAGAAGATGAAGTTGGAAGTGTGACGTGTAACGTAAGCTCAAAAGTTTAGACCAAAGATTTCCAATTGGCATGTATCAAACTGTAACCGGAAAATGTTGTGATAAATTCAATCACGCAACACTAACAGGAAGGAAACTTATAACTAATACTTCAAATAAAAAATGACCTTAAGGAGGACAGGTGAAAGAAGCAAACATTCTCTCAGGCACTTTTCAAGGAAAAAATCATGGTGTTGGATGACCTGCTCCATAGAAAGAGAGAAGTTAAAAAAAGATTTATTCATGTGGAGGAAACACAAGACAACAACAGATACGCTCTACTCATCTCTTATGAAAATACGAAATTATAGGACATTTAGTCCAATGAGAGAATGTATTTTACCTCGTCTATGCTCTTCGCAGTTTGAAGTCTGTTATGCATCACATGCCAATTGGGTTCAAGAACCTGAAGACAAAAGTCAAACTCACTTTTAGTAGGAACCTTAAAACTCTTAGAGATCAAATAGGAAGTGAAACCAATATTGACGCCTTAGGAGTTTGCAATCATTATGCAGATATCTATTCTCTATATCAAAAATGTCACAGCTCATATTAAAATAGGAAAAACAGATACCCTATTTATTTAAAGCATAATTCAACATCACAGTATTATTGCGATATCAGCACAGCCAACTCAAGAAATCAAAGTTGAAGGAAAAATAACTTCGATGACAAGGAATAAGGAATTAAGCATAATGGCTATGTCGTCAGCAACCGGTTGCCGCCGGAAGACGGAAAGGTTGTCAAATGTCATGGTCATGGGAGATAACATTTCTAGTTTCCTCTCTTTCACTCTCCCTTCCTATTTTTTCACATTTTAGAGCTAATGATTGTAATGTGACCTTCCTTTTTTAGTATTTATTTTTGTGTTAAATTATAAAACCTCCATTTTCCACTCCCTGCCCCCGAAAAAAGTGTCTGAAGTGTGTCCTCATTTTGTCCAAATGTGTCACAAATAAAAAAAAAATGGATAGTTCTTTAAGTGTTGGTGTGTCCAACATTGCCATGCAAGCCTAGGAGAGGTCGCCATGCTTTCTAGCCTACACAAAAAGCATTCATCCCAGTGAAAAAATATAAAAATAACAACAAAAAACTAGAGACAGAGACAGAGGCAAAGAAAGATCGTGGGGATAAAACTTGCCTCAAATGTTAGGTAGTGGACAAGACTGTTTATAAATTTAAGCATACTACGACATAGCAAAGATGAAGCAGAGATTGCAGTTCCTTGAATGTCAAGTGCACGGACACCCTACAAGAGCAAATCACAATTATCACAGAAAAGCATAAAAGGTAGGAGTTATATGAAGATATGTGAGAGCCCCATACTTGATGTACTTGCCAAGCCCCACAGAGCTGCCGGTTCACGTGTTTACAGCTAAACAAAAAGCGGAAAATCAACTGATACTTTGTTAAGGTTTTTCTTGATATAACAAGGGATAATGGCCATTGAACCTGCAACATGGAAAAAAGATTTGGTAACACACCAATGAGATACAGCTATGACTAATAGTCCTTTGTGCAAGTTTTTCTTGATATAACAAGGAATAGTGACCATTGAACCTGCAACATGAAAAAAGGAATTGGTAATACACCAATGAAATCCAGCTATATCTTCTTATTTTGACCAGGAAACACAAGCTAAACTTTCCAGAAAAAAAAAACCAGCACAAGCTAAGACACTCCAAAATTATTCCTTACCCAACACAGACACCTTGCTAATATGACGTGTCAGTGGCACAAGTTCCAGCACGAGTGGCAGGACAAAAACAAAATTGACAATCTCAGCAGCTACCATTACAGACGAGAAAAAAAATTACTTAGAACGATACAAGTTAGCAGGAAATATGGTCCATTTAAAGGGGGCTAAGCTAGGAGGAGGACTATAACAAAGTTACACCAAACTAAGGGATTCACTAAATCTACCCACCAAAGACCCGAGAAGAAGGTTGAGCACAAGTTTGAAGTTGAATTAATAAAGTGATATTAGTGTTTCAAGAAATAGTGAAAAGAAGAAGAGAAGAGGCAGAAAAAAGAGAGAATAATTGGTTTTGTAGGTTAGGTTACCCCAGACTGACTTATTTATAGCTGAGCACTATTAGAGTCATTAAAATATTACCCAACACTAATTAACTTATGTCTAATATATAAAATAAGAACTCTGACAATCCCCCTCAAGCTGGAGAATAAAGATAAAAAATGCCCAACTTAGAACATAAATGACTAAAGACAAACCGAGCCAATAGCTTAGTAAGAATATCACTCAACTAATCACCAAACTATATATATAGAGTGATGATCTCCTTTCGCATCAAGAGATCTCAAAGGAAATGACAATCAACCTCAATGTGTTTGAAACGCTCATGAAATACTGAATTTTTTGCGATAAAAATAGTTGCTTTGATTGTCAAAGTACATCTTCATAGGGAAAAACACACCAAGTCCTATATCATGAAGTAACGAACGGACCAATAACCTCTCACAAGCAGTATGTGTCAAAGCACAATACTCGGCCTCTACACTAAAATGTACAACCGCATTTTGTTTCTTATTGTGCCAAGTAACGAGAATACCACCAACAAATGTGCAATAACCAGAAATAGATCATCTATCACCATGACTACTTGGTCAATCAACGTCAAAAAAACCAACAACAGTTATAGATGATAATGAACGATATAATAATCCCAACCTCAAAGCCCTTTTCAGATACCAAAGTATACGATATACTTGTGTCTCAGATAGTAAGTCTAGTACATACTTCTGTTGACACAAGCTGATATCCTCTTTTGTTCGTGCAACCTCAATCCCTAAAAAGCACCAAAGAAGACCTAAATCTTTGGTACGAAACTACTTTCCCAATTAGGCCCTGAAGTGAGCAAATACCATCTAAGTCATTTCCACTAATGATGATATCATCGACATACACAATAACAATAATAATGCATGCAAAAGACCGATGAATGAAAACTGAATGATCTGTAATAGTGCTGAAAACTAAACTGAAATATCACAGTACTGAACTTATCAAGCCCTCATTAAAAAAAAAAAAAAAGAACTTATCAAACTAAACACATAGTGACTATTTCCAGCCATACAGTATCTTTTTTAAATGACATACTAATTATTCATGACCTGAAACAACATAATTTGGAGCTTGAATCATATATAATTCCTCCTATAGATCTCCATGTAAGAATGCATTATGCATTTCCAATTGATACAAGAGCCAGACAGATTAACTACAATAGAAATAAGAACTCTAATAGAGTTAAGACGAGCATCAATAGAGAAAGTCTCACAATAATCACATCATAGGTTTGAGTGTAACCTTTAGAAACCAACTGATGGGATCTCGGAAATCACAGCCCAACCCCAATGCGTGAGAAGTTATTGGGTCCGATGTTAGAGTAGGTTTAGTAGATTGGGTTATCTAATCAAAGAGAAGACGAAGAAGATAAGTGGTTCGCTCAGCCGATTGACCAAGGGTATGTCCACTATAATGGAGTCTCTTGCTCCTTAATGTTGTATATTAAAGCTCCGATATAGACATGCGGGATTCAGGCGTTGAGCCTTTACAGGGATTGGTGTTTAGTTTATAAAATGGACACGGTTGATAAATGTTCTTCGGAGATGCCCTTTCTATAGGGCACTATTCTATTTATATATGAGTCGTCTCTCTTTGTGGTTTCTGGTGGTTTCTTCTACCTTTTACCGATCCTGTGGGGACCTCAAGTCATTGGCCTACAAAAGCATTTTCCAACCGACGCCATTGCGCCCATGATCTCTAGGGTGTTATGCTCCACCATCTTCTGTGTGCTGGAGGATGTAGCTATCGCAGATTTCAAAGATGGCCCCCCTGTCCTCTGGACGCGTGGCACGGCGGGATGGCTCTGAAGCAGAGATCTGATTCCTTCTCTTCGAATTGTCCTTTAGCTGACACCTGATTAGGGCAAGATTGGGCCACTGCCCCTCAGGTGCCCGTTGGGCCTCTCCCTTTCAGCTCTTTGTCATGGGTTAATCAGAGGCGCTTCATATTGGGCCACTGGACTTTCCTCCAGTTCCTCTTGGTTTTTTTGGGCTTCGGGCTCGTTGGTGGCCCATGCCCAGAATTTTACCTTATCAGAAACCAACCGTGTCTCCAACCGCTCAACAAAACCATCAAGATGATATTTCCCAGTGTACACCCAATGACAACTAACAAACTGAGACGTGAGGTCCCAAGTATGATTTTCATGAAGTGTCTTAATTTTCTTATACATAGTCAATTTCCACCCAAGAGATTTTAATACCTGTTTTGAAGAGCTAGAAACAAGGACAGAAGATAAGGTGGATGCAAAACAATGAAATAAAGAGAAAAACCAATGCAAAGAGACAAAATTAGAAATAGGATGTTAGGTACAAATACGATTAACTTTCCGTAATGCAATAGGCAAATCAGACAACTCAAGAAGAATGAACTCAGTAGAACCGGGCGTTGGTTGAGGGGCTGGAGTATATGAAAAAACCTGTCTATTCGTGGAACGACAATAAACCAGTAATTAAAGGTCGGAAGCTACAGAAGGAGAGGATATACCATCAGGTACAAGAGGCAATATCAACTCCCACTAAGTAATAGGGATCAAATCTAGCGAAAAAATTGTTCCTGAATTAGAAAAAAAAAATTGATTCAAAAAAAAATAACATCAGCACTGACATAATACCATAGAGAGAGAGTCATAATAACGATAACCTTTCTAAATATGAGAGTATCCCAAAAAGATATTTAACGAGGAAAAATTTCATCCAAACCCAAAAAAAAAAAAAGGTAAACAAATGCAACACAACCAAAGACATGAGGAGTTAAACCAATGGGCGATGCAGTAGGATAAAGCAAGGAAAAAGGAGAATAAGAACAACGTCTGCCCAATAAGGCTCAGGAAGATGCATGTTAAACATAAGGGTATGAGCAACAATCAATAAATGACGATATTTACATTCTACAACATTTTATTGGGATGTATATGGACAGGTAGTTTGATAAATGATACCATGATCAACACAAAATATATGGATAAAAGATTGTACATACTCAAGGGCATTATCAGAATGAAATATCTTAATTCGTTTATCAAATTGTACAAGGATTTCATTATAAGGTAAAAAAAATTTTAAGCAATTCAGAACAATCCTTGATGGTAAATAACGAAGTCATAGGAGAATAATCATCAACAAATATCATAAAATAATAAAATCCAAAAATACTATTTGTTTTTTAAGGACCCTAAATATTATAGGGAACAATAGCAAAAGGCCTAGTTTGACGACTCGTACAACAAGCAGAAAAAGAACTACAGTGATGCTTGTCAATTAAGCAAACATCATTCTAACATAACAAAAGGACTTTGTTAAACAACTATCTACTCCAAAAGCTTAAGTTTTTGGAGAGTGTGTAACTTAAATATTTATACTTCAATACGTCTCCTCACGTGCAGATTAGATTTTGAGCCTAATACGTAGAAACTCTTTTAATAATTAGGGCACAACGAGATTCAAACACAGAAACTCCTACTCTGATACTTTATTAAACAACCATCTACTCGCTTTTGGAGAGGGTGTAACTTAAAATATTTATACTTCAACAAACTCAAACTAGAAATGACTTGACAAAACTTTTGCAATGAAGGATGACCCAATCAAAAATGCCACTAGAGGAAAGACACAGTAGCACTCAAGGCATGAACTATTGCTCTGGAATCCAAATATCAAAGTTCATTCTGCTCATGCCCCAACCCAATCACCTTCATCCGAAGGTCCTTAAAAACATAAGATAAAGAAAAAGTCGTTGAACACTATAAAAACTTGGTTAATTGACTTACAGATAATAGATTAAAGAAAAACTAAAGGACATATAAATCAGATGTTAATGACATGAATTCGATAGAATAGAGATTATCAGTTCCACATACTGGTCTAAAGGAACCATCAGCTAAAACAATATGAGAGTTAGAAAAAGAAAAATTAAAAAACAATGAGAAGGTACCAGACATGTGAGCAGTAGCTCTCGAATCAATAATCCAAGATGATGAAGTAAATTGTCCATCTACATGTACAAAATTACCTGCGGTGGCTAAACCGACAACTAAAGTAGGCGAATGTAAAGAGAGTAAAGACAACTATAGGATGAGCTACCTAAGCTGTGACGTGAGATCATCATGAGGACCAGATGTAGATGTAGATGTAGCAGGTCCAATAGTTGATGGTTGAGATACAAAAGGAGTCAAATCAATAGAAACCTAATTAGCTTAGATTGGTCTTCCATGTTTATTCCTACAATAGTCCTCCGTATGTCCAGTCCCTCCATAATAAGAACATTTTCATTCAAAACGATTGTCACGACTGGTGCTCTCCCACCACAATTATCACTTGAAGCTAAAGTTGGAGGACAACCACTATGACAACCAACTAAATAGCTATCACGACTACTGTCATGAGAGAGTAAAACATAGGACTCCGGTGAGGGTGAGAGAGTCTTACGGAACTTGTCAAACTGAATTGCCAACCGACGTATCCTCCACTTCCTCGGAAGTCGTCATTTGTACAATCCACAACCAACTAGGCATTAAGGAAGAACAAGAGAACCAACAAAAAAAACCCAAACAATCACAATCAGTTAACGAATCTGTCTCAAACAGTCTAAACCCACGTCCATAACCAAGCCACAACAACTCAATCACACAACCAGAGTTCAAAACAACAACATAGAAGTCACGAATTAACAGAAACCGGTATTGGACGAACAAATCTGGAGTATAGCAAGCAAATCTGGAGCACAATGACCAAAAACACCATCCAGAAGGCTGGTTGAACCGATCTAGAACACACAGGCCAAAAAAACACCAAAGGAGGATTGGGCGAACAAATCTGTTTCAGATGTGAGTCAACCGAAACCAACAAAGGCTAGGCGAAGGCTAATCAGAGAAAATCGAAGCTAGTCAGAGTAGATCTTAGCCAGCCGAAGCAGATCAAATTCCACCGAAGCTCAAAACAATGTTTCCAGCACCTATTTGGTCCAAAAAATCTCTCTAAATCACCCAATCGAAGTTGGGCATCACAAGAAACATACACAGCCCAAATCACAACCCCAGATCCAAATACAAGCAAAAACTCAGCCAAAAAACTCTTAAATCAACAGATCTTAAAAATAGCCCTTATTTTTCCAAAAATTATTTGAAAATAGGAAATCCAACTCAAATGACTCTAAAAAATTATGAAAATAATCACCATAAAATTACCCATGAGAATTTGATCAGGAGGTTAGTTCGCTAATCATTGATTGATGATGCCATATTGACATACACAACTAACAGGTGATGTCAGCAACGAAAATCTGTTCCAGAAATTTCCGGTTGTGTTTCCAATGTATAGAATCTCGACCAAAGCTCTAATACCAAGTTGAATTAATAAAAGCGATACTAGGGTTCCAAGAAATAGAGAAAAGATGAGAAGATAACAAACAGAAGAAAGAGAGAATAATCGGTTGTGTGTATTAGATTGCCCCAAACTCTCTTATTTATAACTGAGCAATATTAGAGTAATTACAATATTACCCTACACTAATTAACTTCTGTGTAATATATAAAATAAAAACTCTAACACTTAATAAACTAAATGCAATGATTTTCCTATGAATAGGATTCGGTTAGAAGGATATCAATTGATGCCAACTCCCAAGATATGCTCAATTAAAAAGTCAGTAAAAGATTATCTTTAAAAGGAAAATTATTATATTGGATCTAACAAAGTTTTATGTTAACTGTTAGCCATCTAACACAACCCTCCTCATTTATCTAAGTTTGGGATCGCCTATGTAAAATATAGGCACTAAAAACGACAAGGACAAAATGAGGTAGAAAAGAAAATAGGCATGCCATGAAGAAGAACAGACCTTATAACTCAAAGCAAATGTTTCCAGGCCAGTAATGCTCACTGGTTCCTCTAAATCATTACCATCAGAAACTGTCTCTCCAGTTTCAAGATCTTTGAGTGTGCTCAACCTTTTAAGCAATGTAGTTCTTTCCTGAAACCAAAATCAGTAAATTTCACAAAGACTGCAGAGACAACTCCACTCATTTAGGTACTACATAGAGAAATGGTTACCGACCACGCAACATGTCAAGTCCTCAGGACAAGGATCTGCTGCTGCTGCTGTAGTCCGCAACGCAAGGTCCAGGAGAGACTATTAAATTCAAACAACCATAGATGAAATACCTCTAAGATGCAGTGCACAACTCCCCTGTTCTGATAATAGCTAATGGTGGTTTTAGGTTGGTTTTTTCTTTTCTTTTCTTTTTTTTGGTATAGTTGTGTGTGTGTTGCTGGTGGAGGGGTGTGGGGAAGGCAACTTGCATGGTCACCCTCTAAGTGGAAAAGAATGAGATCAAAAAAACACCTGCAGTTTCTCCACAGATATCTCATCTGGTTTTTTTGCAAGTTCATCTTGCGCTATGTCCATAAAGTGAACCAAGAAATCGCCCTGAAACATGAACATATAATGAATTTTGAAACAAGGGTGACAACTAGCATGACAACCCTGCAACAAGGATAGAACAAAACCTATATTCAAACAGGACAACTTAGTCCCTCCTGCAACACACACGCGCGCTTTAAAAAACAGAAAAAGTGAAAAATAGATCAAATGACCAGGCCTTCAAATTAAAAGTTCTTATTTATTGATAGCTTAGGAAATTTTGTTTCATTTTTTCTTTGGAGATTAGGCAATCGCTGAACAGCTTACAGGATGCAATTAACCAGTCAATCAAAATAGCAAATTAACTTTTGGTGAAGAAGATCCATCTCAAAAAATCAACCAAATGGTATTTTCATCAGTGTATGTGCATCGACAGTGATGACGCCACAATGGAGAAGAAAAGTTGAAACCAAACCAGCCCACCCACAAAAAATAAACAATTTCTTGAACCTAGTATTCATAAGCAGAATAAGCCCGGTACTCAGAATCTAACCATATGACACTCCAAGTGATTACATCTTGTTTATGGCTTCAGTAACTAACGCATACCTGATCAAGAAGAAGATAGTGCTTGATAGACCGCAACTTTCCCATTAGATCATACTGCCAATAAAAGACAATTTGTCAACGGAAGAGTTATGAACTGAAAGGTAAAAAAATCTTTGTAAATGATTAAAAATGAAGGCTAAAAGAATACCCCTACGGCTTATATTCCTTACAATCATTTAAAGGCAAAATCCAAATCGCACCTTTTCCTTGATGAGATTTAAGAGCTCACCACTGGCAAATTCATAAGCAGCCTTGATGCATTCAAGGTAATGGTGATTTGATCCAAAGCTCATTAATTTTGAATTTTCTGACATGGGAACCTATAAAAAGTGATCTGGTCAAGGGCATTTACTGGCACTAATGCCTACTGAACTGGAAAAAAAAATTTATCTTATTTCTTTTAGTATATGGACTTCAAAAATAAAAGGAGCAACTACAAAAACCTGAATATTGTGCCCACATTCTCTCATGACATTCAAATATTTTCCTGTGGTCAAAATTGTTTCAGCTGCATCCGAAAGGAAGCTAGGAATATCATCCTTAAGGCTGTAACGTTGCCGCCAATACTTCGCGTCATAATCTTGAGATAGACTCTCCTATTGAAGATCGAAACAGGTCAACGGCTAAAGTATAATTCTTAGGTGCAGTCACTTATTAATAAAGCCATACCTTTTGGAGAGATTTATTCTCAGCAATAAAGAATTCGCCATAAGGATCATCAGTCACACCTTCATACACCCACCTAAAAGATTAAATCACTTCCATCTTGAGTACTAACATCAACTATAGAGAACAAAATGGTGATGCAGCATTAAAAAAAACAAAAAACAGAATATCAAACAATAAAGGCCTTAAGCTTTTAAGCCCAAGCATTTTCACCATTGCACAAGGCAATGACCCCTCACATCTGTAACAAAATCTAAGACAACTTCCTCACGGCATGTGTTAGCTGAAACAGTAGAAAGACTTGTTTTCTCCGTTTTTAAAAAAAATACTAAGGTTTTCTTATCCAAGAATATAAGTTAGATACTGCAGAAAACTGGATAGAACACTGTTAGGGTTATTTCAGGTACATTTAAAATTTGTGTTTTCACAAGGGGATGGAAAAAATAGAAAATACTTGAGAACATTAGACACAGAATTTCAACTATAGCAGGGACAGGAAGCCATTATAGTGCTGACTTGCGGATCCACTAGAGCTCATTTATTTACGTTATTCTGAATGTACATGTTTGTTCATTTGGTATGATGCTTCAACAGGGAGTTTCAGAACACTTAAAAATAACAGTTCAAACCAGTTTCTTCTTATGGGTATGGAAAAATCTGAATGTCAGTATGAAAGGGAAAAAAAAAATTGCTGCTTTGTGGTAAAAGAGAATGCGCAAAATTTACAAATCAGCACATCAACATAAAGATATTGAGAAGTAATGACCAAAAGACAAATAGGATGAACTGCTCACAATATCAATACAAGTTATTGGAAGAAAAGCTTAAAACTTACAAGCTATTGAGATGCTTTCATTGATTGAAATTTTGAATGAAATACAGAATTCTCATGGGTTTTGTCCTTGTGTCTCGGAGGATGTATTCCCTCTTACTTAAACGTAAATGAATACATAAAATAAAACTTTCATGTATTCGAAAAGTATAGGTAAAAGTTTTTTCATCAAATACATTTCTTCTTTTCACTTCTTCTAAATCATGTAAAATTGTGGCACAAGAACAAGGGTTTACACAGCGAGATTGAGAAGGATAGCTGCTAAAACCCAATGGAAGCTGTGTGGCATTGGTAGAGGAATCCTTATATCAGCACTTCAGGAAGGGACATATGTAATTAAGAATACATCCTTAGAACCCCTTCAAGCACCCCCATGCAAGCAAGTAAGCTCCATTCCTTCTATAATATAGTTTTCCAAGTACAAAACTTAGATGAAATTTATGATTCCTGAAAAATAGGAAAATTTAAAAAAATAATAATTAAAAAGGAAATATGGAGCATTTCGTTGGGCCTTGGTGGTCGAAATGTGCCGCAAGCAACCAGGTGTGTGCAGGCTGGCTTCCATGCAGCCAGGACAGGCCAGGACAGGTTGCTGTCATGCGCTCGTGGGTGGCGCTAGGTCGGCGCCAGTTCTTCATAGGTCAGTATTTTTGGGTTCATCTCAGCCAGAGTATTATGGTCTCTCAAAGTGCACTTTTGGGTCTATGTGAGGCCACACACAATATCTGGTAGCATCGTTGAGCCACTGTTCATTGTAAACCTTAGGAAATCCTAAAACCTGATTTTCGGCTCAAACTTTAGTCGCTCATATCTCTCCATCCATAAATCGGAATGTAACAAGTAATATATTGACTAAAAATTTATGTTGCAAGGATTCCAACCATATAAGTTTTGAGCATGGAAGAACTAGGGTTTGATTGGTCCCTCGAATGTTAAAGCATTTTTGCACAAAATTTTCCAAATATGATCTCACTCATATGGACTACAACCTATAGAAGAACACAGCCCAAAGGACATGGCCTCATAAGGATGCCATTAATGCACAAACATATATTTTGAGATTCAAAGTTGGCAAGCATGCAATCCTAGAGTTTCTAACATGTTCTAATCATAACAATAAGGCACATAGAGCACACGAGCAGCCTTAGGCACATAGAGCACACCAGCACCCTTAGGCACATAGAGCACACCAGCACCCTTAGGCACATAGAGCATACTAGCACCATAAGCAGCTCTAACAACTATACAGGATAACGTATGTGGAAGACATATCTGCTTCAGGGCTTATCCCTTATGAAGCATTAACCGAATACAAACCCAACTCATAGGAACAAAAGGCTTCATGTACTCCAATGCATCACTAAATCATGAAGAAGCACTCATGATGGAGTCCCACAACATTGGCAAGTGAAAACTTCACAATTCACAATACAAAAGCAGTGTTTGCTCATACAATGGCGAGAGAAAGGCGGGGATTAAGAGGTAATGGTCAGAAGTAATCCTGCAATTATGGACTTATATCTAGTACAGGACATGCAACAGTATTTAAATCCTAGGGAATCAATCAAATATGGGTTGCTCCTTACCAGGTCAGACACAACCATTGGGCACCGAGGTTTGGGTCAAACACAAAGTCCAACATTAGAAACACTCCATTCCACATGCCAGATAACAAGAAGTAACATTGGTAAATTGCCCATGAATGCTCTTTAAATAAATGGTCTGCCATATAATCTACCCAAGTGAAGGCACAAGTACACATATGCCTTTTGCCTTGGGCCAAACAAACAAGTACAGTACATTCCTATCCATAAAGCATGTATCCAAGATCGTATTCAACCTGACGCATGCCATAGCATGATCTAAGATGGTGTAATGTTCAGGATGCAACTTATTTGATAGTAGACTTGCTGCTATAAAAGATGCAGGACCACTTAGAATTTCACATTCAGATTCAATCATTTGATCATTGTTTCAATGATTGACAAATCTGAAAGCAAGATACACTTTACAATCAATATGCATAGCCAACTACAAAGTAATATGTCACCAGTCCTCTAAATCGTGAAACCCTCTTGCTCATGCAGAAATAGGCATATGATGCCAACAGACAATGCCACCAGGCAACTTATGTTCGACCTGTGGCCCACGCCTCAGGTATCTGAAATTTACCACTCAATTTCCAAAATTTCATCAAATAGATCTCTCAGTAGCATTATCCTGGACGACTTTAAAAATTGAATCATGGGCCACTTGTATGATACAGGATCTCTTAGAAGTCTGCATTAGACTAAGGGATCTAAAGTTAGGGCTGGGCGGCTTGTTGTAACATGGTTTTATGATTTTTCCTTCATTATTAACCACAACGTTAATAGGATAATTAATTTGTACAGCAATATATATATATATATATATATATATGGGTATGGAGTGACGAAACAAGGATTTTATCATTGGGGGGCCAACCCCCATGCATAAAATCTCTTACCAATACTACGAAGTATATTTATACTTATTATATTAAAATTTTCAGTGTATAAAGATATATCCAAGAAATTAATTTCCTATCTATTATTATCCAATAGATAGGGACAAAAAATAAAATGAACAAAAGGAATAGCTTTTATTACACTCTAAAGAATTGATATCAAATTCCTTAATTTCAACTTTTGAAGATTTCTTAGTGTGCTTTCCGATACTTGAAGTCTCAATATTGAAGGGAGGCAATGATTCATTAATTTCTGAACTCGCAACATTTTTTTCTCTTGAAAAATACATCAATTGTATGAATAATTTTACGAAATTGCACAACTCGAAAGAATGGAAAAAACATTATATAACCTTTTCAAAAATAATTTAATCAAAAGTAACTCAAATTAGAAAATGTAACCAATTGGTGTTTTATTGAACTAGACACAAATAAAAACACACCAAAAGATCTAGATATTAGATGTTTAGAATAACAAAAATAACAATAATTAACAACACATGGATATCTATGTCACTAAATTTTACACAGAAATAAACATATCATAAGTTAAAGGTTCCCAATTAAACACAAAGCAAGTTGACTTTCACATAAGAAAATTAATCACATCATAGATTTAGTCTTCCCAACTAGAGACAAACATTTAATCAAAAATTTATTATAGTCTATTTCAAAATATCCTGAAAAGAATAGATAACACACTTTTTTCCACAGTTAAAATATTAGCTACATCGGTACTAAAAAATATGGAACACTACCTGGTCAATAGATTGATGAAAAATAACTTGATTTGTTTTTCCTTGGTTTGTTCTTCAATGGCATAACTAATGAGTGGCCTTTCAAAACTCTTCTGATTTCAGCGATTTTCAACATGCAAAGCTCTTTCCAACTGTGCATTATACAAGGTTTTGTTTTGTAATTGTTAGGATTGTTGAGTTACTTTGATGGGTTTAAATATATTAGGAAAGCAAATATTATTCTGGTATGATGACAGAGAGTTTTGACTTTTGATGTATTGGTGGGACTTTTCGGTTTTAGGATTCTGATTTGGATAAAGCTTGTAAAACAATGTTATTTTATTACTTTGTCATATACTTGGGAAGATTTTGGTGATAATAAAATATTGTCGGTAAGAATTCTTTTGGGGGGGGCCAATCCACTTGTATCACTTCACCTCATTATTTCAAGTCCTCTATCTATACACAGGTCCTGAGAAGTATAGGGGGCCATAGCCCTACTTTGGTTCCGTCCATGTGGGTATGTATAATGTTGCCTTAACAAGCAATGCTACAGCAACATGGTTTGTTTCGTTCATGCACGAATTGTTGATAAATAACATATAAAGTCTACAACCTTATACAAAACAAAAATGGAATTAAGGGAAAAAATGACTCAGGTAGACATCTATCTTGCTGTAGTCGTGTAAAAATTTACACCTCAAAATTAAGAGACATTAGACCTTTAGTATGCTTAAGGTACTGTCATTTATTCCTTTCAAGTACCTTTCTAACATGCCAAGATAAGCAAAGCTTGCACATTGTATCATCCTTTCCAGTAATGATCTCACTACATGATCACCAGCCCTGGCCTTAGCCTGAAACAGAAGCAACAGAACGGAACCATATCAAGTAGTCGAGCAACAAGAAGCAAAGTTTCACATCCTGTAAGGGAATAAAAGGCTAGAGGCCGACAAAAGTTCTGTGACCCCTATATTATAATGTTCTACCTGGCTTTGCAAGAGATTAAGAACTGCTGCACCCACAAAATTGTTGGCTGAAGCCTTCTTTATTACAGTGGACAAAGCTTGCATCGGCCCCATCATTGGCTGAAACAAGTTTGAATGAGTGGATATCCGAAATATACTTGGCAAGAAAAGGGATTGCACGGTTTTCACAGCGTCAAACCTGACAATAAAACCATAACCCTTGTATGGAAAGTCTTCCTAGTCGAAATTGATGTTCAAGCTGCGCCACCATGGCTTGGTAATCCTAGAAAAGACATTGAGGAAGGTTATATTACTTTCTAATGGAACACTATCTAGTGTATAAGCTCGTTCACAAAACAAGTTTCACAACATCAGCTTTAATCTGGTGGCCAATCAAAAGGAAATGCAAGCAATGAATCAGTTGAGCACAGGAAAATCGCGGCTACAGATACATTGGATGGAATATTACATGTGGAAACTTATTAATCTAATCAAATAAATCATTTGGTGGCGAGCAGGACAAGAAGAAAGGGAAATTCAACAATTTTTAAGGGGAGCTGTTTAGAGCTAGCATGGTCCATTGTGACATTAGTTCATCATGTTCATTTGTGTCGATAAGCTGGAGAACTTTTTAAATATATGCTTTACTATGTTTTTCTCAAAGGTATTCCGATACTGCATATGGGTAGTAGCCATCATCTGCAGATCATATTTTGGGCCAATTGACGGAATTCAGAATTTCTTTGGACTTCTAGTCCTAGGTATCCAGAATAATCTAATAGTCTGAAGCTTTTGACCCTCCAGAATTAAGTAATGCCAATGGCCCACATATATCCATGCATTCTTCAATTAAACAATGAAAAGACAAAACACTGGAGTTTTCGGGGGATGAATCCTAAGGGTTGTGGATGGCCTTTGTAGATTCTTCTTCTTTCTTTTCGTGTTTCCCTACATATACATGTCTACAATTAGACCTTTAAACCAACTCCTTCCAACCATATAAACCCTAATTCATGAGCCCCAATCCGTCCATAGATGACTAGATCCTAAAACAACATAAACCATTTAACCCAATCAAGTTATAGTTCATGGTTGTTATTATTAAACCTAAAAGCCCAGTGTACATTTGCCAACCTTTTAGTTGATGGAACTAATCTGTCCCCAAGACTCTCCTTTCCCGACGCCCATTTTCTATATTAGTCACATTAAATGAATATAAGGTAATCCAGTAATTACTCTAATTGTTTCTCTACTATAAATACGAAAGTGTAGGGCAACACCGTGGTTCACTAATATTCCTCTCAAATCTCTTTTCTCTCTTCCTCTATTCTACTCTCTCTAAATATCAAGTTTACAATTTAACTTGGTATCAGAGGATATTTTTAGATGAATAATTGGAAGGACAACACAACAGTAGCTATCCGGAGACTGCTGGTGTGCTAATGTCAAAGACCAACACCCTTGCTTGAGTCGACTTGATGCCCCGGTAGTTATGATGATTTTTGAAAAAATAAATTGAGATCAGGTCAATGAATTTTCGATTTTTCAAATATTTTCTTAAATTCTTTATGCCGAATTGCAATCTCTTCACTTGGAGCCTTTGGGATGTTTTCAACTCTTGATTCCACTTTAGAGGTGTCGATTAACACTCCAAAGGGAGTTTCTAATTGACCCATTCTAGTTTGGGTCATTTTTTGGTGTCTTTTGTGGCCTGTACTATCTCTTCATTGAGAGCCTTTGGGATGTTTTCAACGCCTAATTCCACTTCAATGGTGTTCAATTAACACTCCAGATGGAGTTTGTGATTGACCCATTTTAGTTTGGGATGTTTTCAACTTTTTATTTCACTTCAGAGGTGTTCGATTAACACTCCAGAGGGAGTTTGTGATTGACCCATTCCAGTTTGGGTCGCTTTTTGGTGTCTTTTGTGCCAGCCCTATGTCGGCACACATTAGGAGCTCTGCCCAGCCATCCTCTAGCGTGAGTTCTCTTGTCGCTTCTAAGTGTGTTTTGGACAAAATCTGTTGTGGGTAGTCTGCCTGTGGTGGCTGTTGGGGCCTATTTGCTTCGACATTGGCTTTGTGACTTGTTTTCTTGGGTAGTTTTTTTTAATCTGCCTCAATAGTGGTGCGTGTGTTGTTTATTGGTGGGTTATTGATCCCTTGGTTTCCTACTTCTGTGTGCCTCCTTTTGGGTTTCATTATGGCAACTACAGAAGAGGTAAAGGAACCTATAATGGATGATCAAGTTAGACAAGTTCACTTAATAAGTGATTCGGTTAGACACATTGCTTACATGAAATTAAATGGAAGCAATTACAATTCTTGGTCACGTGAGATTGAAGAATTCCTATAAGCCAAAAAGAAAGTCAAGTATTTGACTAAAAGTTCTCATTTTAAGGACTCTAAAAAATCTGAAGAATGGTGGAGTAAGAATTCTTTGGTGAGGACTTGATTGTGGCTTAGTATGGAACCATATGTATCTTCTAATGTCCAACTTCTTATCACAACTAAGGAGATATGGGATTTTCTTGAGGAGACGTATTCATAGGAACACATACTCATACCACGTGCAATCCATGTAACATTGTTTATGAATTAGTCATTTATACAATTCTAGAGCTAACCACTACCAAACACCACCAACCTCTATTGGTTGGACCGAAATAATCAACCACCATAGCAAACCGACAGCCTCCACCCATCACCCACCTCCACAGCATTAAAACCATCAACCACACCAAATCCACCACCAGCTACCTATTCCAAATCACCAATGAACTGGGCATCAGCACAACCACCCATGAATACCAAGCATTTAACACCAAAACTGCCATCGAACGCCATCACAACCAATATAAAAGGATCACATACTAGGACCAAAACACCACAAATAACCCCTTCCAAAAGATTCAAACACTCCACCGCCCATTTTCAATTTTATTCACAAATTTCTTCAAATTTTTGTTTCCCTTCCCCAATTTCTTTAAAGCTTGCGAATTTGTTCTCGATTTAGCATAAACAACAATAAAACATTCAATACTCGATCAGGGGTGGGAGGTAAAAGAGAAGGAGAGAGATTGAGATGAAAGGCTAACGAGAGGGTTAAAGGAGGGGTTACAAGGTGATGGGTCTGGCATAAGTAAGAGCCAAAACTGGATTCATACTCATTGGCATAGTCAATAGGTCATTCATGTAAACCCACCACACACATAATCGCAATTTGTTTGAAATCGGGTGACATAAATACAATGTCGACTATAGGGTAAGAGAGGGGCTGTGATGAACTTGGATAGGGGCAAAGGAGAGGGGCGGTGTCCTGTGCGGGTGTCGTTGGGTTTGGGGGAAGGGGATTATGTGGAGCAGGAGGTGGGAAGAGAGAGTGAGAGTATGGCGAGGAAGGTGGGAGTGTGTGGGTGGGTATGGGTTTGGGAACGGGTTTAGATATGGGTCTGAGCATAGATATGTTGTTAACATTTATTTATTTATTCAAGTTCACCCAATTATTCAATGAAACAACAAAAATAAAGGTTACTCCATCTTTGTCGTCTTTGAGCATAGTGTGTATTGTGCTTCATGTTGTCCCCGCCGCTTCTCCTTAATCTTGGAATAGAGAAGCGGCATATCGTCTTAGTTTGTTTTTTTTTTTTTTTTTTTTTTGCAAACGATTCACCGCAAAATTTTTATTTTCAAAATTGGTTTTTTAATTCCTAGTCGTATTCAGTCCATTTTTTCTTTAAGGCATTTTCTCTCATTTTGTAGGTTCCTATTCTTATTTCTCATTCTTCTGTTTTGATTGGAAACAATATTTTCGTTAACTACTTCTATAGGTTAAAAAAAATACAATGCATTGGACAAGTAATCCAACCACTGAAGATAATAAAAGGCAACTACATCGAAGAGAATTACATGACCGTAAAGATAAATAAGTTTCATTTTCCCTCGTAACATTGTTTTTTACATTAAGAGTAAAGAGAGAGAAATAGATTGTCTTCAGGAGTTGTCCTTTTCTAGATCGGCTTGAATAGGTTTAATTGACAAATAAACAGTCTTTTTCCCTAAAATGAGAAAGACATAAATTTCTGATGTGTTTCTCAACTATGAAGTGACTTGTGATTTTTTTGATTTTTCATTCTTAAAAGGCTAACATAATTTGCATGCCCCAAAGAGATATTACCGAGTCTATACACCATAGATTCTTATTTCGTGTCCTAGCGGGCAAAAGAGGAAATGCCAAAGTAGGAGGATAGTTTTTACTCAAGATTATGCAGAAAACAAGTATAGCTTAAAACTTCAGAAAAAGCCTAAGATCTTGATCCAGCGGTTTTTCAAGATTTTGTTTCTTAGTCGAAGACTTTCTAAGGAATGCTCCTTTGCCCTTGTATGATTAGTTCCTGTCCTGTACAAGGTGCAATTCTCCTCTAAATACACATAGGTCCCCAAGGGATTAATCGAATTTAATCTTTCATCAATTCAGAACCATAATTTCCACTTGCTTTAAAGCCAAAACACAAATCCTTTTATGCTTTTGGTTATCAATAAAATCAAATCGTGCCTTATCGGGGAAAAAAAAAAAAAAAAAACATAAATCCTTTTGTTTTTCTTCATTATATGAATAGTAACAAAACAACAAATTGGCATCAATAAAGTAGAAAAAGATTATCATGAGTAATAGATAATTCAGAAAGATGCAAAGGAATTTGCTTGCCATTGCACAGATAGGATCTGGTTGCTTTACAAATATGACTAGTATTCAAAGCCTCACATTCATGCAGTAAAGGAGCCAAACAGAGGCCTAGGGATGGCCCCCCTCCAATTTTCAAAAATGCCCTATACTCCAGTAGGTTTTACAAAAAATTATATCTCCCCTTAGGTTTCCAAAAATTCCTATATATATAAGACACTTATTTGGTGAATGCAAATAGCTCAACGGTCAGCCATTATAACCAAATGAGGAATGTAAATCACTTGGATGAGTTCTCCTATTGCAGATAAAGACAATTGTTAGGGAGAGTTTGATAACTACAAGAAAAGAAAAAGAAAATTGTTGTTACAAATATGAATCATATCATGAACATAATTTTTTTAAATAGTAAGTACGAATCAAGTTTTGGATTTTTTGATCTAAACTTGTTTTTACTATGCTATAGCCTATAGCACAAAAGTTGGTTTTGATAGGTTTTATACAACTAAAAATTTGGCACTAAAGATAACTTAAAGAATGGCCCCACTGAATATAATTTCTGATGATCCATTATCTTTGTCCCCCCCCCCAAAAAAAAATAAAATAAAATCCTAACTCTATCCTAGAGTCCAGGCACTAGATTTATTTCCACACTTCAGCTCAAATAAGTCGGATAATTGCGCAAATACTGCATGGTATAGCCGTATAGAAACAAATAACCACTCTAGCCCTTTATTAACATTTCTGCTTCATCTGCCCTAAAAAGAAATTGCAAAAGTTACATTCTGTTCAGGTCTAACAATTGAGGTCTCCACATATTAAAGGGCCCAGATGATTAACAATATGCAATCAGATTTTTAGATAAAACAGCAGATTTTGTAATTATAGTCAAAGAACAAAAACATTGAGTAGAAGAAGCTAAAGTTAATCAATTGACTTACAACACAAAAAACATACTAGAAGAAGTGCTCTCAGTGCAGCAGCAAAGGCGTGATTAACTAAGCCTGCCTTGAACTGAGACCTTGACTCAACAAACTGGTTAATCAGCAAATAGCTCTCACACAAAGGGAATACCCGTTTCGCCGACTCCTGCAACCATAAGCCATAATACAAATAAAATCCCACCCAATTTAGTCCCATCAATGGGCAACTGGGTGTCATAATCAGCTGAACAAAACGAACATGGTCATTTTTTACCTCTAGCTAATTAATCATTCATTTTTCATAGAGTTACCAAATTTTCTTGTTTGAGAGAATATTTTTAGTTACGCCGTGCTCCAGTATATTCTTAATAATATTCCCCATAAGAGCTTTATTGACAACAGTTTCCAATAAATAAGTACAGTTTTTACGAGAAGTTGAAATATTTCCTGAATTCACAATTAAAGTAGCATGTACACCAGTGGCCCACAAAAAGACAACTCTATCCAACTCCCCCAATCTTTTATTTACTCATATTCCATGCAAAAATAAGGTAACGGGTAATTAACTACTAAAGGAAACTATTTGCATGAACTTGTCAAGTTAAAGGAGCAAGTCCAATAAATATGCTGCAGCATGAGGTACACGTCCTAATTGCTTGTCATTGATTCAAGCACCCCAAGAAATTTATGAAACTCGTACCTGAAGTGCTAAATCCATAGATGCATCAACCTTGAAGGTAATACTATCCTCCTTCCCTTTAACTTTTTTAACATGCCGTCCTTCAATTCCAACCAAGGCAGACAAAAGATCGTCAATGACAATCAATTCCTGCAAATCATAGAACCCAATACACATGAATGCTCATAAGTTTGACAAGATAAAGAGACAAGAAACTGAAATTAAATAAGCAAATAGATATAATTTGGTGTAAAATGGTTTCCCATTGTCATGAGAAATGTTGATTAGGAGAGATTTCTACTTATAAAAAAAATAAGGCATATTAGAGCTTGTCCCACGATGATAAAATAACACCTCCCAAAGTAATATATGAGCTATTTTAGCCTCTCCATTAATAGCCATTGGTTTTCAATTGGATATTTTAATACATCAAAGGAGGCTTTAGGTAAAAAAAATAAAAAATAAAACCCCTAGGTCACGACAACTGATTTCACTTGTGTTTGTTCCACAAGTACAATTGTTCTGTTAAGACTCTGTCTTTTGATCTTTTGGTCTTCCTCTCCAAGTGCAAGTGGAGGTCGCACATGCGGGAGAGTGTTAAAGCTTGTCCCACATCAACAAAATAACACCTCCCATGCTAGTATATGAGCCTCTCCACTCATTGGCAACTGGTTTTGATTAGGATGCTTTTACAAATTTCTATCGGCATTATTTCAAACTCCAACAAGTCAGAATGCCATGAAAAAGAAGCAAAAAAAAAACCAACAGCCCATGATCATCTCACATGGCATTTATTATGCCAATCACTAGTAATAGCTTCCAAAAATTAATGCCCCATATTCACCATAAATAACTAAAAAACAAAACAGATTAGACCATACATGAGCAGGAAAAAAGTGTGACGCAGCCATACTCAAAAATCCCTATTTAGAAACTCATAGATAACAAAGTTGCATAAGATCATAGTTGATGCAGAGAAGCGAGAAAGCTGAAAGCATTCTCCTAGAGCAAGTATTATGTCAAATACTTTTTTGTTTTTTTGGTCTTTTATGCTTATTTTTTTTTCTCAAGGTTATTTCATTAGCCCAGATACAATACCTTTTTTTATGAACTGGATACAAGACCTTCATTAATTACCTTAATATTTTTGTTCTCCATTGGATCAATCATTTTTCAAGGAAACAGGTGTGCACATCATCAAGGCTCTGCTTCACCAGTATCTAACACTATTTCTACATGGCAGTATGTAGGAAAAACGGTTGAATGGATATATTACCCTTAAAAACAGATAAAGACAATGATATATGCTTTTAGTTAATAACTCCATTCATATTATATGTAACTTGTATAATTTGTTTGAGACTGGCACAAAATCATTTTTTAAGTGGGCAGCTGTTACATTATTTTTTTTCAAGTGACCGTCAAGCTCTTTCTTTTGTTGCACAAACTAGACAAACAAAAAAAAAGAAATCGAAATCAATGGTATAAAGCAAAGATATGTGATGAGAATCAAGGTTTGTAACAGCTTTCATTCTCATTCTTATGCTTTTGCTAGGATGCTTGCATGTTCTACTAGTTTCTTTTTTTTCTTTCATTTTGATTGATACTTTACAGGTTCAATATTTGAATTTTGTGGTTTTAATCATGGAAAACTTTCACTGCAGCAAAGCAATCTATCAAGTAAAGGATTAAATTGAACCGAGTGACCATTTGTTTAGTTTTTCAATTGACACAAGGTCCTTGTTTTTGTTTTTTGAAATTGTTTTCTTTGTTCTTTTTCTGAAAATCCTGTTATTATGCAGGTGATGATGGCATCTCTGAAGGCTTGTGCAGGTCCATTGGTCGATGTTCAAAGAACTAGAGAAAGAGTACTCTACTTTCCACACAGCCACATGGAACAAAAGTCTTGTATTTCATTTGCAATTTTGATCTCTGTTTGCGAAAGTAGTGCTTTTATTCTTTTTGGTCATAGGGTTTGTAATTTTGATAGTCTTACTATTTTGTGGCTTTGGTAGGTAGAGCCATGTAGAAATCAGGAACTAAAGATTCCCTTGACAGTTGTTAATCTTCCATCAATGACCCTTTGCCGTGTTGTTCACATTCAGCTGCTAGAATGTTCCCTTGGGAGCTTATTCTTGGTTGCTGACAAAGTGAGAATTGAGGTTGAGATGATGAGTAATGATTGGAAGTTCAATGGTTGGAGACATTTGGACAGGGAGGTGCTATTTCGGCTTCTATTTTAATATAATGGTTGCATGCCATATATATTGAAAAGATTCAAACCAAATAGATAAAAAATTTGATAAAAAGAGATATGAGATATAGATTTTCTAACAGGATCAACTTGTAGATTTAGTATCTATGAGAATTTTCAAGCTTTCCTAATATTAAAATGTTATTTGGTTTATAATTATTCACATTTTTTGTAAATTTTGTTAATTTTAATCTTATCCTTGATGTTAAATTAATTATAGTCAAGAACTTATGTTAATTACATACATGAACTACAACTCAAAATGATCCACATGGAACACACATGTGCACAAACTAATTTTGTTAAGTGGAATATGCACTCGGAAACACTAGAGCACACAAAAGCATACATTAATCAACAAAGTTTGAAAAAACAATATCACAAAGATCACCGTCAGGTGATATGATGAATATGAATCAACAATAAAGCAAACCTGAACAGAGGCATGGTAGCAACCGATAGCCTTGTCCATTCCAGGACTGCATCAAATAGGGATAATTAGTTGAAAGACAAACAAACAAAATAGCCAACCAATATCTAAAATTTATAAGGTTACATAGGTTTATACCTAAAGGAGTCCATCAAAAAACCCTTTGATTCTACGAGCCCAATGTCAACCATGTTTTCTGAATTCATTATACCAAATCACAAATGTTATTATATACTAAATTATATGTAAAGACAACCTGGATCATCACCTAGTCTTCGTTAATCTAGGATGCCGGAAGGGTGAACATAAACTTTTATAATTATTTTTATAATGTGACCACTCTCTAATTTTGTTGTTTAGTCAAAAAATAGAAGTGTTGGGCTAATAATCCTTATATTGTAGGAGTTTAATACTATGGCAGAAATGCAGCAAAAAAAGTTAGGTTTTTAGCTAGTCCACCCCTAACCTAGTCCAGCCCTTCCAGCATTTGTAACATAAAAATCACATTATCTCATTGTTGATATGTGGGTAGAGTTCCTCCTCTCACGCTATGGTGACTCCCTTCTCAACAAAGTCTACTAAGATTATAATCACTTCTTTTTGCATTCCCTTACCACCATAGTCAAAAAATGTGTTATTTGAGGTGAACCAAAGCACAAAAATCCCTTGGGTCTAGGCAAACAAAGCAAGGTGAGAACTGAGGCACGAGATTCATCCAAGAGGAAATTGTGCTATGAGTAGGACTTTCTGTAGCATTAGAGACTAGGATAGTGGATAGGTGATGGAAATTTTGTGAGAGAAAGACAAGGCTATGGAAATGCTTTGCACAAAACACCCTCACCAAAGAATCGTAACTCCCAATTCCAGGCTAACAACCAAAACTTACTACCATGTATTTGGGTCTCGTAAACTCAAGACTAACCCACCTCACAACCCAAGATCTATCAACACCATCATCGAATTCTGAAGTTGGAGTAACAAAATTGTCTTTTCAAATGAAATTTTAGGGATAATATTGTTGCACCAATGTGACTTTCTAGAGATGGAAATTTGTTGAAATATAAGAAATTTTGTTGAGCATAATCATTTTTGTTAGCACTAGAATCGTCTGTTAGGCATAATGGGTCCATATATTACAAGTTGCAAAGGTCAAGGGGTCCTTACATTATTACTGAAGTGTTAGGGGGTCACCATGTCATTTGACCCAAGGCCAGAGAGTCTATTGGACTTTTAACCATATTTTAACCATTGTTATAAAACATCTATACCAATGAATGAGAAAATCAAATACTAAATGCAAAAAAAAACTATTTATTATGTATTTTAACAAACGACCTGCATGCAAAAATCTTGTAGAATATTGTGTAAAATTTCAAGTTGGGCAGCCCAAGTTCAATATGTGAGTGGAACTGGAGCAGGTTGAATTGGTTGCGAGGTCAATACGTAACCAACCAAAGTTATAAAACCCTCAACCCAAGCTTCACCCCAAACCCTTCAATCTGCACATTGTCCCTACTAACTTTAAACACCCTCAACCTAAGCTTCACCCCAAAACCTTAAACCTGAAGGTTATCCCTGCTTAGAATTTTAAACTCAGGTTGAACTTGGGCTGCCCAACTTGGAATGAAATTTGGGGATTCTTGGGGTGTGCAAATGAGCTCTTAGCTATCATGCCTATAAGTATCCAATTGAAAATTTTTCATACCAACCACAACCCTGGGTTAGTTCGTGCAACAGGAAGAAACCAAAAAAAAAAAGAAGCAAATGGAAAAATAACAATGATAGCACTGTGCCAACTCGACCTTGTACGCTCATTAGTTTAAACACTTTAACTTGCACAGATAACCGCCAATGACTCAATTTCAACAAATTTTTCAATATGCATCAATAAATACAAATTCTACAGAGCAATTTCAACAAACAACGATATTTAGAACCTGCGAACACATTATGCTGGAAAAATTATTTTCACTATACAAAATGCTCACACCAACTACAAAAGACGAACAACACAGGGTTCAGTGTATTCGCGACTGTGTCATTATGCGTTTGTGTGGGACTTGTGTGAACTAATAGTGCATGCGTGTTTTACTCTGTGCAACAATGTGTGTGAGAGCAGACCTCGGCGCGGGTGGGATTGTGGAAGTATTTGGCAGATCTTCGAAGAAGAGAGAGAAGAGAGGCTAGAAACCTTACCTGATAGCTAGTCAGCAGCGTTCAGGTCCGGCCGCCGGCGAGGAGGGAGATAAGAGAGAACCGCTGAGAGGTAACCAGCCAAGCCTGTTCGCCGTTATGTGCTAAAAAACATGGGGCAAAGTTACAGGCATCGTTTTAAAACCGGCCCGGACATCAACGCGATAAAAAGATCGGGTCAATGGGTTAATGGGTCAACGGATCACTGATAGGACCAGTAAATATAATAAAAAAATAAATAATATTATAAATATTAATAAATAGGTTAAAAAATTACAATAATTATGAAAATAGCATCAAATATGTAAAGTCAAGTAGAGAAAAATCATCAAATATATATCCAATACATTCAAAATACATCTATTTCAGTTCAAAGCTCCAATTCTCCTACTATGCATCAAGCATAATTCATGTAATTTACACTCTTCAAAGTTTAAAGTCAATCAATGTATAAGAAATCAAAACTTCAGTACAAAATATAGCATTATTAATCAAAGATTCAATGTATATTGTTCAATATTCTACACCCAAAATTTAAACAAAAAATTAGATATAGCATAGAGTCAAAGAGAGAGAGAGTATGTACTTGTTGTAGTCGTCGATACTCGATAGAGCTCTGATTGATCGAATCACTTTGGCTTTTCTTTCACTTCGATCAAGATTGAAATTGAAATTGCGAAAATGAGAGAATAAGAGACTAGATTTATTTCACTTCGATCTAGGAGGCAGAGGCACAGACAAAAAAAAAATCAAACAAAGAGAATGAGATAAAATTATGAACACAATCATAAGCGAAGGGAGGCAGGGCCAGGGTGGGCACGTGCCCCCCTCAATTTTTTTTTTTTATTAGTTAGATATATGTATTATATATTTATACATATATATTATGTGTGCCCCCTTTATTTATATTAGGCCCACATTATTTACCCAAAATAATTAAAAAATTAAGCTCATTTAAAACAAAAAAAATCGAACTTACTATTATCTACCCAAAATTATTAAAAATTTAAATATTTGACCTATCACAATCCACCTAAACCTATTAAAAAAATAAAACTTTTAGTCCAACATTAAAAATAAAATTTTTGGCCCAACATTAAAAATGAAACTTTTGGCCCACTTGACTAAAGCATATCTTATCTTATTTTTTTCTCTCTGTATCACTCACTTCCAGCTGCCCACTGCCCAGCCATAAGAAAAGAGAGAAGAAACAGAGAAAAACTCAACACACGAGAAGCTCAGTTCCTTGAGTTTTTTTGTCATTCCTTGCACCAGCCTATAAAATTATTTTATACAGTATATTTACATCCTAAATTTTTGAAAATTTTAATAATGGTTCTAGTCTTTTTTTTTTTAATAAATTAGTGGACCATTAACCCTCTAAAATAAATATGTTAGTTTTGGAATGAGTCAATGTTCTATTTGTATATTGACGAAAATACAATATTTCTTTTTATTTAACACAATATTCATTACTTTTTACGAATAATTTTTAGTTTTCATTTACCATTTTTTTAGTAATAGTAGTTTATAACCTAATAAAATACGATTATATACAAAAAATAAAAAATTATAACCCAAAAATATTTCAAACTATTTTGAATAGGAAATTTCTCTATAAGATTGATAATTCTCAACTAAATTTTGTAACTAAAGAAAGAATAATTTTACTATGTACTTGCGATTGTGCGCATTGATAGAAAATTAGTGAAAAAATAATTTACATTTAATTCATATACAAAATTTTAGAGATTTTAAATTTTTATATTTTATTGAAATATATAATTAGGTTAAAATGTACTAAAAAAATTATTTTGTGTCTTTTTGTTAAGATTTTGTTTCGGCTAAATAAAAATTGAATTTACTATTTCACAATAATTTAGTGTTGATTCTTATTTTTTTTTATTCTTGAACTAAATTTTTTTGTATTAATTTTGGCTAAATATTTTTTTATATCAGTTATATTTTGTCTCTATCATAGATATTCATGGCTCCGCCATGGCAATATGCATTTTTTTTTTAGAATTTTTTATTTTAAATGGACTTCATATATCAAATACTAGTCGTTACCTGTGTCTAAAGACATTATACAACAAACAAATGAAATCTTAAATAATTAACCAAATTTAAAATGAATGACTTAAAAATATTCATACCAAATCTTTTTTTAAAATGACTCAAAAAATTTGTCGGTCATATCCTTCGTATTAATAACACTGTCATAAAAATATATAAAAACTCTCAAAAACAATACCAACACCATATATACAGATACCTTCAGGAAAAAAAAATACTAACATAACCTCATTGAAAGTTACAATTTTTAAGCAATAAATAAAATCTTGCTCATTTATAAGACTCACGAATTTATCACTTCTATTACCACTCAATCTAATAACATAACATAATTATAAATTCAACTACTATATTTCTAATCCACTCTATCCCCATGTAATAAATACCTCGAGCAAAAAAAAAATACTAATAGAATACAATTAAATTCACAATCTTTAGCAATAAATAAAATCAACTAAATCTTACTAATTTATAAAATTTATAAATTTATCACTATTATCACTATTCAACTTTAAATGACACAATATCATTACAAATTTAATCATTAAATGTCCAATTCTCTACATATAAATATACACAGAAAAACACTCACACACATTTCTTTTTTAGTTACCAAAAAATCCTCCAAACCAATAACTACTCAAGTTTTTAAGATATAATAATAATAAATTAGTGTTTAATTAAAAAACAGGATAAAAATCATGGACATTCCTGAGTTTTGATAATATTACATGGACAACTCATAACATTTTATAAATAACACGGAAACCCATTTAAGTTTGAATTCATTGCCTAGAGACCCCTCTGTCTCTCGTCCGTCAATGTTGCTAATGAAAATTGATAATATCATACCAAAAATTTTTATTATTTTTACAATTATCCTTCTCTAAATTTAGTACCAAAAAATTAAAAATTTAATAAA